AGTACGTCCCTGACTTGTCAGGACATGGTTTGCTCATTGCAAGCATCCACACTCAGGGGTCCAGTGTGTGAATCCAGGGATGTGGTATGCAACCCCTGTCCTGGGTCAACAGAGCTCGCACGGGCAGAAACTTGTATGGCAGCATGTACCGAGTTGTAATATGGAGGCGTACCAGATCTGACGCAGCCAGCTGAGAGCTACAAGTAGGACTCTCACTGCCTCCCGCTTGATTTTCAAAACTGTTTGATTAGGGGGATAGGTGGGAAACCATTCACTAGTGGGAAGTTTCAACATATGGCGAAAGCATCTCCTAGTGAGCTTGGCCTGATGCTCACTCTGGAACAATACAGGGGACATTTGGAGTTGAGATGTGTTGCAAACAAGTCCACTAAGGGATACCCCCAGGTCCAGAATACGTTGATTATAATAGAACTGTTGATTTCCCATTTGTGGTTCTGTGGAAATTGTTTGCTGAGAGCAAGTCTGCTAGTATGTTGTCCTTGCCTAGTAAAAGCATCGCTACAGGTGTGATATGGTGGATAATTCACCAGCGCCAGAATCTCAGTGCTTCCGCACACATGCTGTGTGGTCTTGCCTTCCCCCTTGCTTGTTTATGTAATATGTTGTGGCGACGATGTCCGACAATATTCTGACTCACCTGTTTTGTATAAGAGGAAGCAGTTGGGCACATGCCCTCCTCGCTGCTCTGAGTTCCAGCACGCTAATATGTAGTTGAGCCTCCTCGCAAGTCCATATCCCGTGAATGACAATGTCAGCCATAAGAGCTCCCTGTCCCAGTAGTGACTCATCTGTCGTAATAGTGGTGGAAGGAGGCGGCGACTGGAAGGGGAGCCTAACACAGATGTTGTCGACTTCTGTCCACCAAGTAAGGGAATCCTTGACCCATCTGGGCACATGGATTGACAAGTGGAGCGGATATCAGTATAGGGAGTGCAGCCAAGCCTAGAAAGGCCTTGTGTGAAAGCAAGCATTGGGCACTATGAACATGGACACAGACATGTGTCCTAATATCTGTAGGCATGCCCGTGCCATGGTATGTGGACAGATGCAATTACATCGCACAGTCTCGTCCAACTGTGAGTTGGTAATGAGGTGATAACTCGCACACAGTCCAGGTGTGTACCTATGAACTCCAGAGTCTGCAGCGGTGTGAGAGTGCATTTGTCCATGTTCAGTAAGAGTCCTAGGTTGTCGAACACCTGTCGTGTCGACTGCACCGAGAGTTCTGTGTCATCATGGGTGGCTGCCATGATTAAGCAATCGTCCAGATATGGAAAGATGGTTATTCTTTCCCACTGTAGGTGCACTGCTACCATGGACAGGACCTTGGAAAACACTCTGGGTGCCATGGATAATCCGAAAAGGAGTACTATGTACTAAAAATGTAAGTCTTTGATGATGAACCTGAGGAATCGTCTGTGGGCCAGGTGGATTGAGACATGGAAATATGCATCTTTGAGGTCAAGGGTAGCTAAACTTGCTCCTTTCTCCAAGGCAGGGATAATCTGGGCCAATGTAACCATCTTGAATCGTTAGTATTTGACTAATCAGTTTAGCACCCTGAGGTCTAGGATGGCTCTCCATGCCCTCCCTCCCTGACTTCTTGGTAGTTAGAAAGTACCTGGAATAAAACCCTTTCCCTCTGTAACTGCAGGGCACCTCCTCTATATCCCCCGGTGTGAGGAGGCATTGAGTTTCTTGTAGGAGTACGAACTCGTGAGAGGGGTACCTGAAGAGGGACAGGGAAGGGGAATGGGTCAGTGGAACTGCTATGAATGGAATGCAGTAACCCATTCATATAATTTCCAGGACCCGTTGGTCCAATGTGATGGTATTCCAGGCTGAGTAAAATGCAGTGAGTCTATTTCCAACTGGTTCATCGCTTGCATTTTCCTGTCCTGGGAGATAGAGGGCTTGCATTCCCTCGACCAAAACCTCAAATGTGCTGCTGAGAGGAGTTTGTGGGGGGTCAACAATTGATCATTCGTTTGTCTGCGGCAGGTTTGTCTCGTGAGCCTCTTTTTGTCATAGGGCCTTTGTTGCTGTGCATACCCGGACATTCTAAACCTTTGGTTGTAGTTGTACAACTTATATTGTTTCCTTCTGGCTCCAGGTTGTTGAATCCCTAACCTTCAAAGCGTCGCTCAAGAATCTTTCACCGTGTGGAGTGTCTCTACAGACAGTCAGTTCCCTTCAAACAGAAGGTCCTCAATATTCAACTGGACTTCCCTGGGGAATCCCGACAGCTGTAGCCAGGACATGTGTCTGAATACTACTGCTGAAGCCATCGACCATGCAGCTGTGTCCGCAGCATCCAACACTGCCTATAAAGCTGTTTGAGAGATCAAGGAGCCCTCTCTGATATTGGATGCAAATTGTTCTCTAATGTTCTCTGGTACATATTGAATGAAGGAGTTGAACAGTTCAAATGTGCTGTGGGAGTATTTTGCTAGCAGTGCCACATAATTTGTAATGCGTAACTGAAGTGAAGCCGAAGAGTATGCATTTTTTCCCATCAATCATTGGAAAAAATCCAGCCGTTTGATTTCCTTGTCATGACCCGGTGTCTTGAGATACTCGTGCTGTTGGCATCCTCTCTGGTTAGCTGCCTTGACCACAAAGGAGTTCAGTGCAGGGTGGGAAAATAAGAATTCCATATCAGCGGACATGACATAGTATTTTTTGTCCAGCTGCCTCGAAGTTGGGGGCACCAATGACAGAGTTTTCCAAATGGCCCTGGCAGGATCCATCAAAACTTCATTCATTGGGAGAGCCATTTTATTATGTTGAGGTGAGACGAGGATATCAGTAAGGTTATGTTTTTTCTGAGAGCTTTATGGTAACTCTCCGAAACAAATCCTGAAAGTGCCTGCAGTCATCCCCTTTGATCGGTGACATGGGCAGGCACTGGGCATCCGTCATGGAGTAGGTGGTATTAGGAGGTATAGAGGAACTCGGCACTCCCTGCTCCAGTGAGAAGTCGCTATCAGAATCTGTTCCATCCCCATCAGCTGGAAGTAGCGTGTGCACCTCAGCCAACCGAGGTATAGGGCTCTGTGCACTGCTAGGGAACTGTTAGGTCCTATGCAGTTCCCAAGGGTCCCAATATGCCTACTGTAGGGGGGTTGGAGGGAGAAATGGGGAAATAGATGGAGGTATCCACTGTGACATTTATCAAGCATGCATTTGCTGCTACCAATGCATGTCTACACGTATAGGCTCCCCCGAGGGACATCCCTCCTCATCCTTGCTGAATGCGGCTGATGTCCGTGATGCTGGCGTTGAGGAAAAGAGGGAGATCCTGGAGTGTGGCGTGCCATCAGGACCAAACAATGAGGAGTATGGTACCGACGGTATTGTAAAATTCGCCTCCATCATGAATGCCAGTAACGACATCCGAGAGGTCAGTGCTACATGGCTCCCAGCAGTTGCTTGCATATCTGCCACCAGCGCTTTAAACTATATCTGTACCGCCAGTACCAAGTATTTGCTGATACATGGCATTCCACCTCCCTGGGGCTTGCTGGTGTTCTTACTGTTCCACAGTACCACCGTTTCCACACATATCAGGTTTCTCAGGGAAGAGTCTGAGGCACATGCAACAGATCTGTGTTCCCCAGGAGGATCGCAGCTTGTCTGTGAGCCAGACCCTTTATCCCGCTTCTGTGAGCCCAGTTTGATCTTATCAGCCTGCCTGAGTTTCTTTGAAGTGCGAGACTGATACTCAGCGGGGACCCAGGAGCGTTTTGAGTTCCTCTCGGTCTTCAGGTCTCAGCCACGTCCACTCTGGAGAGTACTGCTGTAATCCCTTCCCCAACGGGATTGTCCCTGGGAGCAGGTGAACAAGGCTGTGGCTCAGCCATAGTGCAAAACAGCAGCTTTAGTTGCAGCTCCCTCACCCTCTCGGAGAGTGGGGGAGCTGTTGGAAGTGAGGACAGAGGCTCACATGGTGATCCTTCCCTAAAGCAGCACAGACACTGTTCATGCCCATGTGCTGCTGCAATCTTAGTCCCACATCCTGAGCAACTTTTGAAACCCAGTGATGCAGGCATGTCAGGGGGAGCAGGGTGCCGGGGGAGCAGAGCACCGCGGTAGAAGCCATGTCGCTTCCCCTGCTTGTCTTTTCCTCTCTCCTGTCTACTCACTGACCATCTTCTTACTGTCTTCTCTTTCTTTTTTTTTCCCCCCATTACAAGATGACTGATAAGGGAGACTAAAGGAATGCGACTGATTTCGGCAGTGGTTAAGAAGGAACTGAGGGAATGGCCACCGGCACATGCTCAACTGTCAGTTGGGCAATTGCGCAATAGCATAGCACACGCCGGCATCCAGAAGACTGCTACTAAGAATCACCAATCTGGTGCACAGCAGCACTGATACATCTAACTAGAGCACCCACGGCGACCCTGGAAGAAGAAAGGGGTGAGACTAGCATTAGACCCACACTTTGGAGAACAGGGTTCTGAATGCCCTCATATGACAACTTACTATAGCAGTGCAAGTCAGGTAAGATCTGTGTATAAATGTTAAAGGACATGCCTAAAGTTCAGGAATACCTACCACGTTATTACTCAGGAAGGAACTGTGGTTTTGTACAAGTGAATTCATAATCTAATAAAAGTGTAGAAGCAGTGTGGGTCAGCCTATTCTATACTGAAAACACTCATGAATACTGAAAAAATAGCATTTGCCTTTAACTGAATTACATACATAATTTTTCCTAATGTTGTATTGTGTTAATTTAAGAATCATTACCTTACAGAGAAAAATACTGGTTTAATAAAAAGTCCTGTCTAAATGAAAGATTACTTTCCACTATGTCTTGTGAACTAATATGCATTCAAGTACATTGATATATTTATGTTAACATTAAATTTGAAAAAAAAAAAAGTATCTGGAAATAGTTAAGTGAAACATACATAACCTGGAGACCATAATTTAACTTAAGAACAAATCACTTTAATCTAAAATATTTTATGATATATTTTCTGTGAATATACATAAAAATTAATTAGTGATTTTTAAAAGGATATTCCATTTCAGCTTTGATGTCATTGAGACGATGTGACAATTCAATTGAGTCTTCTTCTTTGTTTTCATCAAACACTTTCAGCTGAATATCAAGTTCTTCATTTTCTTTTTCTTTTAGGTCCTATTTTACAAAAATCACAATATTTCAAACAGTTCCATTTCACTTTTTCAGCAAAATATTTTCCTTTAGTAAATACATTAATACAAGATCTAACTGTCCAAAAGACCAATTATACTTTTTCCAACGATCAGGTTACAGAGAGAAGATATTATGGTAAAAACATTGTTTCAGTCTCACTCTATACATTTAAACAGGATATGCACTTTGCCTCAAGTTTTCAGATCAGTACCTATAAAATAACTGCTAATACATTCATTTTTAATACATTGGTTCAAGAAAGAAAACAGTATTGCATGACACCAAAAGGAAACATGCAGTTAAGACAGTTATATATATTGATATGTTAACAGTTTCAAGTAAGGTAGGAACTATTGTTATTTTTCTTATATACAAACGTTGCTGCTACAGGATTAAAAAGAATAAAAAATAAGGTTTGGGGTGTTTTTTGTTGTTTTAAGCTTTACAGTATGAAAAACTGTGTAGCTCTATGTCCTTTATGGTATTCTTGAAGCCCATAAAATAGGTTTCCCCTGAAGTTTAATTTCTATTTAACAATTTAGTCACCGATTTCTTTGTTATAATACGTTAATGAACATGTACCACAATGATTTAACCTTTTTTAATTCCTAACTCAAAATTTTCACAGTATATCACACTAGAGATTGTTGGGTTTAGTATCTCTTGCTTGTCTCTTACTATGTCTAAATTTAAGTTGCAGTTTTCAAAATCCATTAAATAATCAGAAGTGAGAAATATTCATAAATTGTTAAATAATAAGAGTAAAATGACCAGGCATGGAGTCTAAAAGGAAAATGTCAGCAATGTGGAGTCCACAGCTAGGCAGATGAAACAGACATGATAGATAATAATATATTTCAGTTACTACAGACATTATATAGAAAACTCAAGGCTTTGATTAAGCTATTTCACTGTAGCCATAAGGACCAACTTCTCAAATGCTCTTGTAAAAACCTTTTCTCTAATTAAGCACATACAGATATGATGTACAATTTTCAAAAGGATTTAATGACTTAGGAATCGAACTTCCTTTGGGAGTAATTTACACATACTTATTGGCTTTCAGTGAGACTTAAAGCTGATGTCCATAAATCACTTTCTGAAACAGGACCTGGGAGTCAGAATTCTCAGAAACACACTCCAACGCCCACATATTTCCATAGAAACATATTTCATATTGCTTCTTTCAAGGTTCATAATGTCACAGCAATGATCATCTTCAAATCAGACCAAGTTTTACATGATCAGAGCAGATGATTGGTTAATCTAATTTTTTTCCTTCTGTCATTACACTAACATCTTAGATATGACTTCCCTATTTGAGAAAAATAGTATTAATTGTGTACACGTGCTCTTTTTTCTATTTCTATATTGGCTATACTGGAAGAACAGCAGTTGATAATACCTGGCAGATAAAAGCATACAGTGAAGTTATTTCAATATCATCAATGATCTTTTGAGGTCAAGGATGATCTCTTTCTCAGGTTTTATTTTTCACAACTCCTGTGGTGACTGAGGACTCTGATACTTGAGCCACAGGCTTGTTGGAAGATGCTGTAGGTGGTGCTGGAAGACAAGGTTGGGCCACAACTGCAACATGACAGTTATCTTTCCTTTCTTTTCTGGGGTTTCTGTGAGCAGGACAAGGTGGCTTTCCTTAAAAGTGGATAATCCCTCTGAGAAGTCTTCACCAGTTATCCCTATCCTGGGCTGCTGTGTCCCAGTGTATGGTGTCAGTCTCAAATCTCTTGATATTTATCCTCAGGCATCTTTAAAGAGTTTATTTGCGCCTTGCAATTTCCTTTTGTCTTTTGCAAGTTGGCCATACAGCAGTTGTTTTGTTAAGCACATATCAGGCATATGCACACAGTGCCTGCTCCACCTCTGCTTGTTGCTGGATGATGAGGGTCTTGACACTAAAGATGTTGGCCTCTGTGAGGAAACTGACATTAGCATGCCAAACCTTGCACTTGATATTGAACATATTCCAAAATAAATGTGCTGGTGCTGAAAGGTTTTTTACCTGCTCTCATTTCAAGACACACCTGAGAGGGCGACCATTAGCCCTCCCCTCTTACGTATACTGGTCCCTAACTAACCTCCCAATAGGACCTCACCATTCTCCCTCTCAATTGAGCATTAAGGATAGCCTAGAAAAGGAGCGGTTGGCTCCCTGATATACCACAGTCAGTGCAGAGAAACTTCCTATTTTCACTCCTTCAAAGGAATGCTACTTTAAAATCCTCCATCATTCAATTTTATCTCATCACTATATCCTTTCACCCACCCCAAACCTACATCGCCTGTCTCCTTTTTCATTTTTGCCCCAACTAGTCCCTCCACTCCCTCGGACCCACCGTGGGGGAAAGGGAAAAAACCCACTTTAACCTTGGCCTGTCTGTATGTGATGGAAAAATTCTTCCCAGTCCCCAAGAAATGAGCCTCTACCATAAATATCCTCAGCAGATCCTAACAAAACCCAGCGTATTGGGTGGGAGAGTGAATACTGCTTCACCTGGTCCATGGAAAGATGCATTTTCCTACTCTGACATGTATCTATACAGTTCCCTGCTTCCCTACTCTTCATGGATCAGCATCCTCAAGGTAACCGGGTCTGCAGCACTAAGTGATTCCCTGGTTATCTGCATTTAAAGGAGCATCTAATTTTTTCCCACAAGCAAGCTCCTAAATTACTTAATATGCAATGAGGTAATTGATGCATAATTTTTGGCAACCCTAATATTTATATAACATTTCATGACAATACTGAACTGCAATTAAAATTAAAAATTTGGAGTAACAGGGATTTTATTTTGCTTATACAGAGGTTGATCCCTCTCTTTGTTTATTTTGTATCTCTCAACAAAGAATTGAAGGGGATAAAGATTTGCTGAAAGGGTTAAGGCCAGTAGTTCTACACCAGTGTTTTTCAACCAGTGGTACAAGTACCCTTAGGGATACTTGAGAGAAGTCTTGGGGGTACGTCAACACAACTGACATTTGGAGAAAACTGAATTTTTGTTTTAAGTTTTACAGCGTTTTATTTTTTTTTGTAGTGTTTACACCAAAAGTTTCATCACCCGCCCAGCTACGATTAAGTTGTTTAAACAAATGTGTTGCAATGCTAGAAAAAAATTGTGTGTGTGTGAAAACTGTAGGTACTAGGGGGTACTTATAATATTTTAAGGGGTACTTTATTACTTTATTTACTTTAAAAAAAAGGTTGAGTTCTACACTATAATCCCTCCACACTGCGAATTTAAGTGGGTTTGTCCAAAGCAATTACATAAGCGAGGATCTGCAAGAGCCAGTATTAAGACTGGAAAGCTATGGGCCTCAGAAACAGGTTTTCTTCCCATCAAATTAATCCTACTCCTTGAAATATAAATTTCTTATTTGACACATAGGCAAGAGAAGAATTTAATATTCATCAGCCTGAGCAGATGAAAATATTTTCACCATGATGGCATTCCTTCATCTACTGTGTTTTAACTTTGCACACACTTTTATGTGGTGTCCAAAAAACCTCAGAAAATAATATTTCTCCCATGTTGCTTGCTGAGGATTGCATGGTGTGCTGAGGGGTACCGATCTTTTTTTTACCATGGATTTTACATTCAGAACACATATGCGATGTATGGTTTTTTCATTAAGATTTATTTTCAACTTATTTTTTAGATTTCTGACAGGTATTCAGATTGGCAATTACAAATTCCCTTCAGTCTCAAAAAAGTGGAGTTTTCACTCTCAGGTAGTGTAGTGTAGCATCAAGCAAACACTACGGGTTCAACCAGGGGCTTCAAAGTCACAAACAAATGCTCTCTCTCTCTCTCTCTCTCTCTCTCACACACACACACACACACATACACTCCTTATGTTATTAAATGCAGAGACTAGTGCCTGTCTACACTAACAATCCTTCTATCACTATTGCTTGGGAAATGTGACTGATCAGTTCAAGACACATTTTTAAAACAAAATTATGGCAAGCGTAAATCAATCCTCGTGAAGAAGTCCATCAGATTACCCCCAGAAGCTGGCAACTGTCCTTGCCTCAGCTCTGGCTGAATGAGCTTTCATTTGTGCCTCTAGGTTCAGTCCTGAGGTTTAACTTCTATTCAATGCACAACATTCCCATATAAAAAAGAAAAACATTAAAATTGAAGTAGTCAAATCACCACTAATATGTAGTTTATCACACTCAAACAACAGTGTGCCACTACAAATTTGATCCAGACCTCAATTTTTGTTGTCTATGGAATGCAATATGACATTCCACATCAGTTGTCAATATCAAATCTCATAGGTACAGTAGATCCTATGGGTTTTGTATGAGATGGTATATATTATATTACTTTAATCATTAACTTCTCAGTGCATACGTAAATAGTTTCTGCATAGCTATTGCAAACATTAAACCCTGAGATGTTCACACATTAACAATTCACATAGAAATCAAATACACTTATATTTACCCTTAAAAGCAATTGAATGTGGTTACATTTTATAAGGCGGCATACAAGTTTAACTGCAATAGTGACACATACAGTATCCCTATTTTTCAGTTTTAGAGTTTTCACACAATGTTTGTGCTTTGGAAACAACATAAAGGGATTATTTAGTATAAGCCAAATGCTACGACTTGCCCTTCTTCCGCCCCCCTCCTCCAGTTTTTGACCTACTATAACAACACTATCCTAAAAAGAGTCACATTCACAACAAGAGAGTGACTGATGCATAAGGATCTAGGTAGATTATCTATCAATAAAATAACATACATGGCAGTTTTCATTTCTTTCAATAAAAATCTTCATTAAGATCTTTTTTAAAAACAAAGCTTCAGACATCTCTATAAACACGAGACATAATACCATTATGATACCACCTTCAGAACAAAATAAGGAACTGGTGAAAATATGTATTTTAATAAATATGCAGGTGTTTCCTGTTTATAGGAGAAATCCAGAATGCCAGATGCAGAA